TTAGCAATCTTTCTTGTGACTCCTTCTTAATCCCTTGCTCATTCTGTCTTTACCTGTGTCTAGGTTGTTCTCTTCATAAAACTATCTCAGTAAAACTGCCTGCTTCTCCGTGCTGCTCTCCCTCTCAGTTCTAATCTACTGTTCTCCACGAACTCTACTGTATTCCTGTACTGTAGTCTCTTCTTCCTGTATTATCTGTCTCTTAAGTAACTTCTCTTTCTTCTCTCTTCTTATGAGAGTTGGGCATATCCTATTCTGTCAAATCTTTCTCTGATTCATTACTTTTTTTGCCACTCAATTAGACATCACTTTCAAACATGAGTGCTTCCCTCTACAAACTAAGTTACCTTCCTTGTGTGGGAATAAAGGTGTATACTAAAGGTGTGTCTGTATTCCAGCCAGAGGGAGTAAAGGTATGTACTAAGGGCTGAGCCACACCCTAACTAGAAACAGGTTAATATACCCTCTAACAGGATCTGATGGCAAAGATCAATAAAACAAGTGACAGCTCAATCTTAAAAGAATGTGGAGTAAAAGGAACATTCATACATTCCTAGTGGGAATGAAAATTCATCCAGCCACTATGGATAAGAGTGTGGTGGATCCTCAGAAAGAAATCTACATCAGTATCCAGCTACACCACTCTTGGGCACATACCCAAAGGATACTTCATTCTACCACATAGACCCTTGTTCAGCCATGTTCACTGCTGGTCTGTTTATAATAGCCAGAAATTGGAAACAACCTAGATGTCCCTCACAGAAAAATGGATAAAAAATACACACATACACAACACACACAGAGAGACACACACACACACAAATAACAACATGAAATTTACAAGCAAACAGTAGAATAAATACTCTTAAGTGAGGAATCCTCGACTCAGAAAGATGAATATGGAATATATTCTTTTATATGTGGATATTAGCTGTAAAGTCAATGATAAGCAAACTACAATCTGTTGGGGTTCAGGAATCTCCACACTAACCATACAAACACAGGTCAGTTAAGCAAGAATAGTTTATTGAATTTAATGACTTTAATAGTGGTCAGACTATGGACATAGTTCAGAAATGAGTCTGAAACTATGACATCAATTTTCAGGGCAGACATTATATAGAAAAAAACAGGTCCAAAAGTTTAAAAGGCAAGAAGGGGAGCAATATTACATTTTGGCTTACTAGACAAAGTATTATAGGCTAACCTTTAAGCTGATTGGTTCTGAGTAAGGTAAGGTGGTGGTGGATAGGTGGTGAACAGGGGAATTTAAAACCATTGAGATAACAGAGCATGATTGATACGATCATAACCTTTTTGGCTTACCAAGAACATTCTTCAGTGCCACTTGTGGATAGTTACTTTAAAAAAGTGGAGTCTAAGAACATGAAATTTATTTCACCTTATGAGCAAAATGGAGACTGAATACAAAATGGCCACAGTTATGTTAGAAGGAGCAGGCCTCAACACAATCCACAGAAACAAAGAGGGTGGGTAAAGAATATGGGACTAGTGGGCAGAGGAACAGATAAATCTTGTCATCATAGCTGCAAAATTTTTTGACAAGAGGAACTAAAACCAGAAAGAAAGTGTGCTTGACGCCAGGATTGGCAAATATTGAGTTAACAAATTTTTCTATGTAGTAGTTTTACATAGAATTAAAATTTACTAAATGCTCACTCAGTCTAAGTTTGGAATGTGGAACTGGGTATAATTCTTTTTTTTTCCAGATTTAAGAGTTTATTTACATTGTTCTTATATTTGTAATTCACCACATCTCGACTTAACAAACAGAATGGCAAACCAGTATGTAAAACCAAAATAATGATAAATAATAATAACAACAATAACACTTTTGGTTTGATACCATCACCTACAAGAAGAAGCACTGGAAGTGGCCAAGCTAATTGCTATCATGTTCAAATAAAGACAAAACCACACAGGGTGTATTCATTTTCTTTGGCATTTACTAGGCCAGCAAATTTTCTATGTGGTAGTTTACATAGAATTATAATTTACTAAATGCTCACTCAGCCTAAGCTGGGCATGTGGAACTGGGTATTGTTCAGAGGGTATAATTCTCAGTATCATTTTGTAAATTCAAAACATGGTAGGATGAAAGAGCTAACAGTTCAGCTGGGACAGAAACGACAACAGCTTTCACATGGTTTTCTTTGTTGTGTGTCAAGCACAACATTCACTAAATAATATTGATGAACTCTTTATGACCTCTGACCCATGGGCTCTCTTTGCACTATGCATAAACCTTTTCCTTCTTGGCCAATTTCCAGCATGTTAGCTTCAGGGCCATGTGTGCTTGTACACTCAATTCCTTTGTCCTCCTTTGTAAAGCTCAGCCCATCCTTTCCCCATACTCAGTGCACTTCAGGACCTCTGTGCACTTCAAAGAGCTCCTCTCTGAGGTGTTTATGGCCAAATTTCTTGTCTCAGGGCTGAGGTCAGGTACCTACTTCGCAATGATCAACCTTGTTTGCACATCTGTGTTGCATTCCACGCAGGAACATCCCTATCCCATACATCTTCTGTTCTATCATCTTGTCGATCTTTCTGTCAGAGGGTACTGAGTCTCCTCCCATGATGAGAGGGGCATCCTGCTGCACTAAGGCAAAAGTACCAATATTAATGAATAGAAAGTTAAGTTATAAGTCAATAAAAAAGAGGACAAAATATGTATAAATTAAAATATATATTACCAGAACTATATGCAAAAATAGAGGAGATGTGGGGCTTGGAGCAGGACAGAAGATTTGGTCATCTGGGTAACCCAAGCTATGGGTCCTAAAGGGCTGCAAACTCAAGATCCTCCCACCTCAGCTTCTTACATATTTGGATTTCTAGAATACATCATCATGCCTGGCAGAAGTGCAGTTCTTGACGCTACATACAAGGCAAGTCAAGAGCACCAAGAGCAATGGGAACAGCTCATGGAAGCAGTAGAATAATATCAGAAATATTTGTCTCCCACCAACAATAACCAGCCTTAAAGTAATAACTGCAAGATTTAAGGATACTTAAAAATGTATGACCCTTGGAATCGATAGTATACATTGCATAATATAGAAATATTTTTTATTCTGGGCATAAATGAGAATTATCACCTAACTTTTCACATTATAACAGGTCAACATTCTAATTTTGAAATAGAAATCAACTAAAAGTGACTATACCTCAAAAAGGAAGGTAAAATGTGATGAATAACTTGCAAATTTCAGGCGATGTATATTTGGTTTGCCCTGTTTATCTCATCTTTGAACTTTAGCTGGTTCAATACAGTGAATGTGTACAATAAAACAAAAGAATCCATCTCTACCTGGCAGAGACCTGGAAACAGCAACAGTGAGTCTAAGCTGAGAAGGAAATTATCCATCTTTCCTTTGTCCTCACTCTTTCCTCCCTTCTTTCTTTCTCATTCTTTCTTCTTCCCTCTTCCTCCCTTCCCTAGTTCTTTTCTTTCTCTTCTTCCTTCCTGCCTCCCTCTCCCTCCTTTCTTCCTACTTTCCCCATTTCAGTT